GATCGAGGAGTGGAATTGGCTTGACGAATTTTAGTCAAAACTCCTCCTTTTATGTGGTTACCGAACGCGGAGCAAACGAATTAAGCAGGGCTAATTTGAAAAAGCTTGTCGCGATTGGCGGGAATGCTTGCGAACTTTCCCACCAATCCCGGAATTATTCTTCGAGTGAGCAGTGCGTTCTGCAAAGCGACTGTCGCTGTTCGATGAGATAGTGGGTATGTGATCGTAATCTGCCGTGCTGATGAGCGTCGCGTGCGACGTCGCGCCAAGTGTTTTTGGGTCGCGGACCAAAAAATGCCGACAACATACAGTAATAACAACCAAAAAATAGCCATAAGTGTCTACCGATATCGTAGTGCATTGTGAAAATCCCAGCGGTGCTGCCAATCCGACGAGGCGAATGCAAATAAACGCGCAAATTACGATTGTCTTAGCCGTCTCCCTTCAAAAACGTGGAGGGAAAATTGACTAATCACCAAAAAATGCATTCTAGGAGAACAACAGCAACCGAAATTCATTGGCAACTTCGAGGTGTTGTGGGCTTGTTCCGTAGTGATGGTAGGTCGAGCATGAGTCGTGCTAGTGGTGAATCGACGGCGATGTGTTGTGGTGGTTGGTGCTGAGGTGGACGTGGTTGTTGTAGTGCTTTTGGGGTTTTGAGGCTGGGTGCGCTGTGGTGAATCCTGTGTGGTTAGGTCGGTGGTGATGATGTTTCCTACCTTGCCTTCTTCCACAGATTTCTCTGAATAGCGAAGAAGGGATGGTGCATACACAAACAACGAACCAACAACGTACTCTCATATATCAATGAAAAAGAGTGGGTGGGACGGCGTAGGCGCGCGGGTCGCGTCGCCGTCATTGAGGGAAACTATATGCTCAAGTTTTCAGACTTCAAAAGTTCTGGCTTATACCTTGTTACCGCCCACTGTAACAATGACGCGAAGACGTCGGCCGACCACACCTGTGCCCGCTCTCATCCCACGGCCTTCACTCGGATAGTACTGAAAAACGCTACGCATCCTAACCCGCATTACATCCCGTGGAACTATTCGTAACAAGTGAAACTCTATAAAGAAGGCAAGGAAATACGGGGCTACGCGGTAACGCCTGTGCTTAACCCAAAGCCTAACCAACCTGGCTTGGCTTCGCCGCAGCAACGCACCAAGCGGTCATGGAGAATGGCGCACAGACAGCTAGGCGGCCCAGCGCCCTGAAAAGATACACTGACAACTCGCAGCCGAAGACCATACTGAGAGTCACGGGCGTGGGCTTCTTCTAAAGGACGAGACTCCTCACGTGGCGCGTAGCCGCTTATGACACGTGAAAAGTTGGAATGTGTGAGGTCCAACTCATGTAGACGAGAGGGCACCAACAAAATTAAAGAACTGAGTTCTCCGCGGCGAGTTTCCGCGGCGACTCTGGTCGTCTGCGCTCTAAGCCTAAGCCTTGGTCAAGGAAAAGAACGCATAAGGGCTGCCACGTGGCTGCGCGCAACTACACTCAGCACTAGACTACAACAATACTGACAACAAAGGATGTGCATGCATCACGAAAGTGTCCGTGCAAAAAAGGTGAGATCGTGCAGCTTTCGCGAACCTTTTGTGCACGTTTTGCACGTTTCGTTTATTAGATGGATTCAATAATACTACATATGTGCACAGAACCGCTATGGGAATGCATGTACATGTAACAAGGAAGAAAACAATAAGTTGATGGTTAGTAATCAATCAAGAGAGTCGAGTTTTTCGTCACTCATCAGTCCATAAATAGCTACGCGGAATTCGATTAGTCTGCATATGTTGATTAGACCTCACATCTTCATGTTCGTCCTGTTCGCCCGATGACTGTACGGGATGGAGAGCAACGTATCTTCGAATTTCGTGCCTGAAAGTGAATTGGTCACCATTTAATGGTCAGTTTAGGTATGTTTGGCGGTAAGGTCCACATTAATCATGTGGGCGGGGGCGGTCAAGCACTGTGCCTTCCTCGACACCTTGTTGAAGGAAGGGGACATAAGAATAAGCCAGGAGGGCTGCACATGATCGCTGCCGAGGGGAGTGGGACCATCTAGGCAAAATTTCGGGATTTCATTTTGATTATCGGTTTTTTCCGTTTCACAATAAAGCTCTTCCCTTTAGCCGCGCCGTTAAACTACTAATCAGTGAAAGTTGGCCTGGAGTGGCCTAGCTCTCCCCTTTTTCCACGGCAAGCTTTCAGAATGTTTGGTAAAACCATCGGTCTGTCATGGAGCAATATCACAGAAGAAAGGGGGGGGGAAGGAAGGGTAGGTAGACGAGGATGGGTAGTTAGCAAAAACTCCTTAACGCAAGGACGCACCGGAAAGTTTATGAGCTCTACTAGTCTGAACTGAAAAAAACTTCCGTTCAGACTAGTTGTGAGCTCACACCAGTAGACGGTACCGAGGACATGAAAATGAACTCACCGGAAGTCTACAATCTCAGCTGGAATGAGATCTCCAGAAGCATCGACGTCTACCTGAAGTGGAAATGTGACTACATACTTCTTTGAGACCATCAGGTTCAGGAAAAGAAGGACTCAGGGCTGCGTTACAAACCCGCTGATCACTACTGTCTGCTTTCCTCGCACATGTAAACAAAAAAATAAGTAAAAATCTATGAGATTACCTTGTTGAAGAACTCCCTGGTAATCTCAAATGGTACATGATATTTATTCTCGATCAATTGTGCCAGTTCATCAACGGTGATAAGCCGATCATGATTCGTGTCGAATTCCTGCAACGACTATAGTTCTATGAAAAAAGAAATCATTTGAAATTTGTACTTATATCTATTGAAGCTATCGAACCCAATCTTTCCCTTTTTAGGAGAAAAACCAGGAAACCGCGAATTTAAAGTAAGAAGTCACTTCAGCTTCCTGAAGCTCCGCGTACAATCAGACAGTGGTTGCGTAAAATTCAACCGGCTCTTCAGGACGAGCTGTACACTCACTTCGAATCCTGCTCTTTATCGTGTGCTAGGTGGATGGGTCCGCGTCCTGCCACTTTCTTCGCTCAAATGAAATCGGGCTGAACGATGGTAATACTCGCTTTCCGACACCGCTCGCCGTTGCCGCACGTCCAGCCGCAGGCTTACCCCTAACCGAACGCGGTACTTGTCTGCGCTCTCTCACAAGTGGTGTTCTCTTCCTCTGTGTGTTTGCTGCGGGACTTTGGCACTAACGCACTGCTGTGCGAGTGTAGTATGGAGACAACGCTGGAGCATCACTACTATCCAGCCCCGTTCTCGTTGCGCTTTAGAGAGTTATACTTTTGCAACATCGCAATTTGTGCGGGGGAGCGCAACGCGGAACGGTTCGCGTCGGCCGCCTTGCTCTACCAATGGTGATCGAGCATGATGCGATGTAGGAAGGAATCAGCCATTGGTGGAAAGGCCGCAGGTGGGAACCGCCGTTTGCGACCCGACAGGTCGCGATGATATAAACTGCTTAATGTTAGCATCCGGCACTGGCAGATTGCGGACCCATTCGCCTTGCACTTTGGCAAGCGGACCGCGCGGAGCTCAGTCCACACTAATCTCAAACACAAGCGAACTCTTATCCAGAATGACGTAAATCAGGTTACTTCTACATCTACTTCTTCTTGTTTCAGCCTCGATGTCACATTTTGAATGTTATTCCAAGCTTTACTCATGGGGGAAACTCCTCCAGAACTAGTGAACGGTCAACACAATCGCATCATGCCGCGCCGTCGCGCACGGCGCATCTTGCGGCAAAGAAGGCCTGCGGCATTTCGAGTGAGATGTCCCACAACGAGAAGAAAGCCCACATCCCCTGTTCAGGGTCTCTTCCGTTTACAGGTACTCTACTGAGCGGGGCATTCGACGTTGGAACATTGTGCAATAGTTATGGGTGTTGGCCATCCGCAAACTATTGCCGCGCATGCGGCAGGCGACATCGCTTGTCACGCCCATCAGGCGAGTTGCGATCCTTCCCCCTTATTCCGCTGAGAGAAACAAGCTACTTTAGCTAAGTACGTTACTGAAAGCACAGCTCACTCCTATAGTGTGAGAAAATTCAGTAAGTCATTATGTACACTCGTTCACCCGCCCTCCCTCTACCACTTCAGATGGAGGGGTACGCCCATATGCTGCCCATATGATTGGCACCTCTAAGCGTCTGTGCTGCGTCCACGTTTCTAATCACGATACGCCAGAACGCATTTAGCTATATTACCTATAAAGACTGACCTTGGAACGTGAGTTCGAGTCGCAAATCGATAGCACTCAGTTTCGAACAAGTCGGATGAATCGCGCCAAGACTTCAACCCTTCAAGTTTTTTAGCCGCCTCTTGTTCTGAAATGATCATGGTTTCACGAAAAGCACGCTCGGAAAGATCGCGGGCGGTCGTTGCCAACGTCAACGGTTGAAGGGATTATGAGGTGAGGGCCAAACGTTCTCTCGTGCCCCTTCCACCAATGACGCTGGCAGCAACCGCCCGCCTTCGAGTGGCCACTACCTTCAATCGAAGAATAAAAAGATCCAGGCTAGCTTACCTGGTCTGCGATGTTGAATAGGGTGGCAGTTTCCTGGGCGTCCATATCGTCTTCTCTCTTCGTTTTCTCTTCTGCTTCAGGCAAGCTCACTAGACCGTCGCCGTCTAGATCGATTTCCTGAAATAAGCTGCGTCTTAGCAGAGAACTAAAGATGAATACAGCTCTCTAAAATAGGACAGCGTTCTCAGCCAAACAGTAATAGTACTCGGCTTGTAAAGCTTGTGTGTGCCATATTGTGAAGAGGTAGGTTCCTGTGTCCGAAATGGCTCACTCGAACACTTTTGCAACTTTACAGGAGTTCACAGTTCTGATCGAAGTAAGACCTGTTAGTTAAGATGGTCCACCAGGACTAACGAACATCTAAAGTGCCCCTCCAAGCCGAATTAAGACAATTTGCAACTGAGCTTCCTCTATGCTGTCAAGAGTATACTCACCTTCAGGACCATAACAGCATTACGCACTGATTTGCTACGAATAACTGATCGGAATCCCTGCAAACTCTACAGCGTCGAGCTGACCATCCTCGTTCTCGTCGGCTTGATCGAAGAATGGAGTAAGGACCTGGAACAGTGGCATATAGAAGAACGAAAAGGGATAAGCGACGCAGGTTAAACCAGTTGGTTCTTTCGCAGTAAGTCAGAGAACGAGAAACGAGAAGAGAACTCACATTTTCATCGAACCCATAGTGTTCGAATGCGATTCTTCTAGCTTCGTCCATGGTTAGCGTGTTGCTGGCATCGGTATCTACCACCTGGAATGTTTAATCACATTCGAAGCGTTTTTTTCCGCGGTCCTGTTACTCTGAACCATGGCTCGGGAAAAAATAAGAAAGCACATGGTAATTTGTAGGGCAGAGGTGATATAGCGGCAAGTAGGCTGCTTACAGCACGCGTGGCAAAGAGGGTTGAATCGATCTTCTCCCGCTCAAGCCAGTTGAGCTACTGATGGTTAACTGGTGCCAGTTTTTCTTTCGGGAGTGTAGAAACAAGAATGAATACCCCTGTTCCCTCGGCAAGTTATTTGATAGGCGATATAGCATTCAGTAACTTCTACGGTACCCAACGGGAGCAGAATGCGTACCTCCAGATGGGATCGACCAACGGCGAGAGCTTAAGCTTCTATCCTTTTCGAGGTAACAAGACCCCGGAAAATGGAAACGTGCATAGAAAAACCAGTAGAGAAGGGGTTGTTATTCCTTCCTCAGAAGCCAACAATTAATATCGTTGCAATCAGGCGGAGCAATGTTAGTAGGAGTGGAATAAATCATCCCGCGGCTGCGCTTCCTACCAGTAATGGCCGCATTCGGGTTAAAACCATTCAACAGTAGCACACACCGCGCGAGCACCCTTACTACGCCTTCTGACATCCCCTGCCCTCCCGCATTAGGTTATGTGCAGGCAACTTCGAGCCGCCAGGGTGACTTTTTGAGAACTGCCAACGTCACTGCTTTCAAGCACATGATAGCACTGATCCGAAGCATTAGATCCAGTACCCATTGAGTACTGTAGAATCACTCACTCGAAGTGCTTTTTTGCTGGTCTCCACTGCTCTCGCACGAACAATTCGTTCAAAATCAGCAAACTCGGGAGCGTTAAGTTCACCATCGTTATTATCGTCGACACTGGCGAACATTTGAACGACATCTCCTGAACAGAAAACATGGGGAATTCAGAATGACCATTTTCAGAATAAGAGCTAATCTTGGTTTCTCCTGAATAGATAGATCAAGTATGACTAAAGCTGACAGTTTGTACCTGCTCCAATGCCTTCTTGTTCAAAAGCGATCTCCTGCGCTTCGCTCAGTGAAATGTGTCCGTCGCCGTCGGTGTCAGCGAACTGAATTTCCCACAGGGTTGTTCAAACATTATTCTGACAGTTCACATATACCTTCCGCGATAAATCCGGATGGGGACCTCATAATGTTACCGCATCCTCTGTGGGTTCCCTTACTCCTAAGACAAGTACGGAGAAGGATGCGCCAGTAACAATGCGAGCTTCCACCCCTGCATATTATCGCTTCAAACGAGAATATTGCGCAGGCTGGACACAGGGATACCGGCCATTACCAGTTACCACTCAAGGCACCGGATCGCCCCGCCCACATAATCAGCGCTAGTTCCGGTGTTTGATAGGGACAACATTGAAAAATTTGTAGTTATTGCACGTCCACAGGGCTGCCTTCATGATTTGTCTGGCGAGTCGGATGGTCATGCCGCGAATACGACGTCGTAATTTGCTGAACTGTTGGGCATCCATCTCTATCGAAGTACTTGGTACAACCAATTTCCAGATGCGTTCGACATCACGAGCTCCTCCTGAAAAAAGTACGGCAGTGCGGGGTTCAGCTGCGTTCAGCATACGTTGACCACCCAAGACAGCGCTATCAAGAAATGTCGTACTTTGAAGGAGACTACCCAGGGGGTGGTCAGTCCTACAGAAAAAGAAAATTTGAGAGGGTAGCGATTTAGCGAAATACTTCCTGAAAGTCTAAACGTGCCCTGGACGGTGAGCAGTGACGATTCTTTTCTCGTGCAATCTACTTTTTCTCCCAAGCTCAGATTCTCCGGCTAATCTTCCTAAAAACCCCTCACCTATTCCGTGCTCCTTCAGAATGTATGCCTGAGCCTCTGGAAGTGAAAGCAGCTTGTTCTTATCCGTATCGACACTCTGAAAGTGTGGATTATTAAAACTGACAATATTTTCGGAAAGGTCAGAATCAGAGAAAGGTTCTAATGCGCGCCCGTCGGCTCATCCATCTTGTTAGATAGTGGACTTTCTGGATGGCAGCACTGGTGTGGTGATGAAGGACATATACAGATATGGGCGCAGTACGGGGAGGGGGCATATTCTACTTTCGTTGCTTCACTAGTTCCGGTTTACAAGTCTCACTCTGGTGACCTGTGAACTCTTGTGAAGCTGGAGCAAGGTCGTCAAGCCATCATGGTAAAACCTGTCAACTCGAGAAGAGGCTGTCTAGATAGGTCGACACGTCGATGGGAAGTAGCAAAAGTGCAAAATGCCCCCCCCCGTCGCCGAACTGCGCCCAGCTATGTAATGTACTGATTACAGTTTTCGACGGAGTGAGCCTATGGCTATGATCCCTGCAAGAGATAGGGCATATAGGAGCCCAGCCAGAGCGCCCTTCTTCCATCATTGATGCAATTCTAAGCCCATACAACAGGTAGGGAATCTGATCTGGCTGTGGTCCAAGTCATGGCCCATCAGACGCTTTAACGTTTGCAGATATCAGAACTGTACATGTATGACGGATGGCGAC